ATTAAGGAAAAAAATATTTAAATGGGTACCAACTGGTTTGCTTTCTTTTAAACATAACAAAAGATTTTATTCAATCCTTCTGTATCTATAATGAGTTTAGGAGTGCTTGTTGTGCAATTTTAGTTTATTTTTTCTTTTTTATGTCCATAAATCTATGTTTTACTGTTGTCTCAGACCTATTCTAATATTCTGGAGCAGTATGTGGGCAGTGACGAAATCCCTTCCGTTTAAGTACCCTTAGCCACTTCTCCTCCTTCTCAGAAGGAGGTAAATTAATTCATTACAGGTAGTATAGGTAAATAGGTATCACACCCATCTCTTTCTCTGTGCTGAATCTGAGGTGGTCTCAGTGCTCACCCCAGAACTGATGAATGCTTTGCCTCGATGAATGCTTTGCCTCTACTTCCTTGCATCACTAGCTACATTTCAGACTTCTGCACTTCTTTATAAGCACTGACAGACCAAGTAAGAAACCTTACTGGAAACAGGGTAGCTTCATCATCAACTTAAAACCTGAGGCCTGGGAGAAAGAAGCAAAAGCATTGACTTACCAAGGAAAGAGAGGTTTTTGATGAGCACATGTATGGAAACACAGGACGCAGTGTTGTTACCTCAGCAGTCCTGCATTCTCAAAGCATGTCACCACATGTCATCACGCTGCAGGGACAGAAAGCTGTAGCAGCGTGTGCAGTTGTAAATTCTGCTACCTTCTGAAGTGTCTCCACTAGGAAGCATTTGGGTAGTCAGGCATACAGCTACACACTCCTGCTCAGCAGCCACGGATAGTGGCGGAAAGCTGACGAGTAAAAGGATGAGAAGGGTCTTTATACAGTGTTCCAGTGGGGTTTACTGCATCTACCCACTGAAGGAGTACAGGGACAAAAACAAGAAAAACCTTGGTGTTCAGATTGTATGTGGGCAGAGGGGGACGGACCAGAGGGTCAGGGTCCAATAGAAACAGGGTACAGTGCTGCATAGGCGGGGTCAGAGAGCGGGAGAGCCAATGGGATAATGGGGAGGAGGATTGCACCAAACTGCGGCCAATGGGGAAACAGGGAAGGGAGAACTTTCCAGAGCAAAGACTAAACAATAAAAAGGGGAGGTATGGCCGACAGGGTAGTTTGATACATTAGAGTGGCTGTGCAAAGAACTATGGGGGAAGACCGCTTCCTTATATTTTCACATGGGGGAAAATATATATTATACCATGGATGCTTCCTTCAACACCATTATTGCCCTTGGCTCCAGAGCCTCCACAGAAAGCCACTGCTGTTCCTCTCTCTGCAAGTGCTGAAGACGTAGGGGCTCCATTTCTATGTAACAGGTCCTCTCTGTGAAGTATCACTGATGCGGTTTAGAAGCCAGTTCCTCCTGATCTCCTGGAAGCTCAGAAAATGAAGGTCCCTGCCATACTTGATGCTTTCAGTCTTTACACCCACTGAGTGTGTTCAAAGACCATGATTTACACCTGTGCCAGTTTGCTTTTTCCCCCCACAATTTCCATGTTGACTTCAGAAGGAGAAATAATGGTCATATGTCGTTCCGATTGGGAACGGCGATAAAGAACGACACTGGACTCTCAAGGGAGTCACAACAGGAGAATTCCTCAGTTTATTGCTTCAGGCCTGTCTTATAGACAGATACGTGGAAAAGTACAGAAAGGAAACTCTTATTGGCTAGCAAAGTGCTACATCACCATCATTGGTCAGGGGCACTCTACCCCCCTGACCCTCTCTTGCAAGGGGAAACAAGAGGACAGACAAACAGCACCTGGCAGTTGTTTTCTGTTTCTGAGGATTGTTTTGAAATCCTCCTTTGAATTCCCAGGCTAGCTTATCAGGCAGGACTGAGAGGCCATGGGCCTGCATTTTCTGCAGCTCTCTGCAGCCTGTTCCAAAGCTAGCATCCATAGTCATATATGGCTACAGCTCACAGGCAGAATAGTGAAAATCACTGATGTGAACTATTTTAGGTCAGTGTTACCAATATTCTCACAGAGCACACTGTCTTGTGGAGAACACATTGTCTCGTGAAAATATGGATTTTGATTGTTAGAGAAATACAGCTTTTGTCTCTTAGAAGACATTGATATTTTAGGCAGAGGAAAATAAATATAAATAAGGTAAAGTGTTGTTCTCATGCTCTCTAACATAGCCTGTTTTTTCTACCCAGTAATTAAATATATTTATTATTGACATAGAAACCAAGCAAAATCTGTAAGAAAATACAATTTAATTAAATGTAATACAACTCTTTTCCACCCATGCTATTTGAGTATTTGGATTATTGTGTCATACTTGTTAAAAAAAATATTTCCTCTAGAAGTTTAAATTAACAAACTTAGTCATCTTTATACATTGTTACTCCTAAAAGCAAAGAGAAATGGTTAGACATATAATTCTGAATGCTGCCTCACTGAGAAGAGTTTTCAAAATACTTTGTTTTTAGAAGGTTGGCATTGGCAATATCCCATACCAGCATCCCACTCAGCCTTCCATCTCCTTTCATCAAAAACTCAGCCCATTTAAAATGCAAGTTTCTGGCTACTTTGGTGTCATGGTTTTAAACAAGGAAAACCTATGAACTATGATGATGTGCTTAAACCCAAATCACTTAATATGTGAATATAGATCACACAGACTTTGGGGTGGTTATTCAGCAGCTGACACTGTTGATTCAGTTTACTACAGATAAGGCAGGCAAAAATGGGATGTGTCATGGATTACACACTTGGCCAAGAATATTCCTCTTTGTTATATGGGAGGGGCAGAGGCGAGAGATGGCAACTTCCACGAAAAGAAACCAAATCTAAAGAGGACTATTCAACTCCCATCAAGGAGATCATGATAGCACAGGACAGAGGCCTAATGAGATACACTCAGTCTTACTTGAAATACTGGCTAAAGAAATAATAGAAACTTACCTGGTTGACATGTATGGACTGTGTTTTGGGGCAAGTATTTGAGTGGAAGTACTTCCTTGAGCATTTTATTGTATTTGACCCCCTAACTTCTCTCTAGGACAACAGATGGTTGTTAGAAACATAAAGTACCTTGTACCTTTCTATGAAATATTTACTGCATGGCTATAGTTGTCCTCAAGTATCTTCAACAAAAATTGCAACTCTCCAGAACATAGCATAGAGCCTCACTGTAAAATTAAAAGCATAAAAAAGACAAGACACAGTAATAGCAGGTCAGGTATTGAAAGTGCTTGTTCAGGGTAACAGCCTGAATCAATATCAGAACAACTCCACATTCATAGATTTACTGGCCACTAAGGCATTCTGATTACCAGTGATTAGAAAGGATGCCCTCATCAACCCTTCAGAAGATTTCTTCCCAGGCAATAAATTTTCTCCATATTACAGAGTTCCTTTGACATTAAATATAGATCTGGAATCACTCATATTTTCTGTCTCTGGAAAAAGAAGGCCCTGGCAAGGTAGCCACTCATCATTTTTATTGAGTGTTAAACTGACATGAAAGATCAATTTTAAACTGGTTGCCTTCAGAGAAAAATAAACAACAGGAATGATGTAATGTCATGTCTTAGAGGGAGAAACCAGTGCTAAAGTAAAAAGTACTGTCTTGGTCTTCTCTAACTGGGGAGAGGTACCAAATATAGACTTCCTTATGTAAGTCCCACAGAATAAAGAATCGGCTCCAACACTGAAACATTCCTACTTACAGGATCCTTGTAAATACTAAAAACCTGACAGGACATAGACCTGAGCAATGTGATCTAGTTGACTCTGCTTTGAGCAAGAAGAGGTTGGACAAGGCAGTATTTCAAAGACCTCTTATATTTCAGTAACTTTTCATTCAAATAAAATATTGTTTTAATTGACAGTTTTCTTAAAACTTCACTACCTGACCACATGTAGTTACACAAAATTCGCTTTCTTGTCCAGTATGGTTCTCATATCCCTAATAATACAGAATGGTTTGAGAAATAAATTAATTTTCATGAGTCAAGAACCTGAAAAAATAAAATTAATCCAAAAATAGTATTTTATGATGCAAGATGAAAAGGTTTTAGACTCAAGAGCTCTAAAAATCTTATGTTTTACTGCATTAGTACCAAGCTGAATTCTTCTGTATCTAGTATAGGCAAAAGTCAGGAATTTTAGTTGTGACTGAATGGGGGAAGCAATTACATTAAAAAGTGTGTAAAATATATGTAGGATGCTCCAAAGCATAATTGAAAGCAGCTGTTTTGAACAATGCCTAATTAGATGACATTTTTTGTTTCTTCTCTGAGACTGTTGCCTTAGAAAATCTGTAAGCACTAGCCTTTTAACACTAACTTATAAGAAAGAAAAGGACACATATTATGACCCAAACAATGGAAACACTTGCTTTGGGAACTTTGGGGATGGGAGCTCCACATCTGTTTGACAGCTGTCCTGCTCTTCTGTTTACTTGGAAAGCATATAGGTTGCCTAAGGAAGAGTATTCTAGGGAACTTCCAACTGTACAAGGCTTTGTGATACTTTACAAGCTTCAGCTTAGAAGCAGCTCATAAATTGCATTGTAAAATGTATCTTTCTCTTACACAGGTACTACAGTAGATCAATGCATGAGTTACAAAAAGCTTTATGAGAGAGATTTGCAATGAATTATTAAAAGCACCAAAGATTTTTATCTTAGTTCCCCTCAACTTAAGTAACACAGAAGCTACAAAGAAGAAGCTACAGAAGCTACAGTGTGAGAGATAGCCAAAAGAGGAGTTTCTCTCTTCTCTGTGCTTGGAAGAGTGGCTTGTAATCTTTAGGTAGGATAGAATGTAGGAAAATGCTGGATATCATCTGCTAACCTTAGATATACAAAAATGACATGACCCCTGAAAAAGTGCATACCTTCCAGATTTAAGGTTCTAGAAATTACACTTTTGAGTTTCTTTCACAAGTCTTTGATATAGAGGACTTTGTTTTCTGCTTTTGCTTTTTTGTTACAATGACTATGTTACTCACCCCTTCTCTTTTTCTTCACTCTCAGCCACTGAATCTGGGCTGCACAAGGAACAGAACCGTTAGAAAATTCATCCAAATTGAAGGTAAGACTGTAGTGGGATATATTCCAGTTACTTCCACCTTCTCACCTTCTTTTTTAGTTATAAGCAACAAAATAGGTGGTAGCCATTTGACCCAAGGCATGCCAATGTCTTTTCTCCTGAAGGCCACAAATTATGTGTGCAGTTGCCTTAACAATAATATTTACAAATATGTTAACAATGACAACATTAAAAAGCTTCTCTTACTCTTTCTCCCTAAACATTACTGCTCAGTTTCCTTCCTGGCAGTACTTCAACTACTTAAATATCTCCATTTTGCATTTTCTTTCTGGAAAGCAAAATGGCCTGAAACTAAGAGGTGCACTAAATTCTTCTTTGCTAGTAGCATCACAGATACGGCATTTAGCATAATTGATTAAATGATGCTTAGTATCAGGACTATCATATCAGGAATCTAAAAATTAGTTATATTATTCAGATGGCATGAGGACCACAACTAAAAATCCAGTGGTTGTTGCAGTTTCTTATTGCCATGTATGAAACATTTCTCCACTCTTCCAGGAGTCCCTACTCCTGGATCCAGCAGCTAACCTCACCTCATACAAGAAATTATGCAGACCTCTCCCACTGTGGTATTGCTCCTCTCTTTGAGAAGCAGGATCTTCCAAATCAGTGTAGACCTGAGAGGCAGTGTGAATCAGTTATGTTCCAGGGACTTACCTTAGTACCTTATGCTTCTACCAGTTTTGAGAAGAATAAATCAATCAGGTCCTTTTCTCTCTTTTTCAAATTTAGCCACACTGAAGCTTTTTCCTTGAAAACAGAAATACCAGATAAGCTACCCAGGTCACCAGTGTACTAATGAGGGTACACCATGTAGAAGATAAAAGATGCCTAGCAAACCAGATTTTTCACTTGATATCCCACTGGATATTCTGATGAATCATATTAGTTTTAGAAGTCTGATGTATTCATTCAAATAATTTTAGTTTGTTTGAATTTCGATTAAAGTAAAAAGTTGAGATAAAATGCAGGTCTACATCGCACATCACACAAGTTTGTATGACTTGGTCATAAAGTAAACAAAGTAATCATTCAAGCTCCCAATGTCTACTGCTCTGATGTCATCTCATTACTTAAAATATTTAAAGAAGTTGCAAAGCATTTCTTGTAACATCAATCAAATAATAATTATAATCCTTTACAAATGACAGTGCTAAAAAGCTAAGTAAGATATTGATGTTAGCTTCTTCATTCATTCACAGAGAGATAATGAATAAAGGGCTTTCAAGAGTTAATAAAGAAATCAGAGAGGGAAGCTGTAGCTTTCCAAGCTATTTCACCATTTCCCCTCCCCTCCCTTCATCTGGATGGGATCATGTTAGTGTATGAGTCAGCTAATTATGAAAGACTTCTCTGAAATGAATTAGATGAACACAGCATCTTTAACAGAAACAGATCTTGTGACCTGGCAGAGTTCCCATCACAGTCCAAATAAAGCCCACCCAGATGTGACCACTTCCTTTACTGTAACTCAAAGAACAGAGTGAAACATCAATATGAACTTCCCCACCTAAGCATCTTCTTAATATTCCTGATGGATAGGAATAATAACCACTTTCTACCATGATGAATCAAATCATACATGTGGCACTAGACGCAGGGATAAAATAGTTTAATATTACTGAGAACCAAGCTACAGTTTTCAATAAAATATGTCAGTTTACTATTGTCTGCAAAAAAAAAGCTTGGGACCTATCTTAAAATGGAAGTTCTGATAAATTTAAGGGTTGTAAACTTGTCCAAAGGCACTATTATCCCATATAAACCCATATAATCCTATATAATCCCATATGATTTCCAGATTGTTTTTGGAAACTAAATGCAGTTGGTGCACTTCACTACCTGGAGAAGAGATTCTGTGCTTTGGTTGCTGGTCTGATTCCTGATTCTTTCATGTTAGTCCAGATTCAGTTCAGTGGTGACTTCAGTAACCATTGCAGTGGAATTGTGCTATGGTTCACTGTCTTGAAAAAACAACTGAAAAATTATGAAGCTTTAGTTGGTTTTGTCTCTGTGGTAACATCAGGAAGCCAAGAGATTAGCTTTCCAATTAATACAAGCTACAGCTCAAGTCACAATACAAATCACAGATTTGCAATCCTAAACCCCTGCAGATAAGAAAACAAGGCAATATATATTGTAACCTGCACACTAAATGAACATTTAATTCATTTAGCAAGTCGGATGTGACAGTAGAAGTGGCCACTTACCTGTTTAGACAAGTGATATCATTCACACCTGGTTAACATCAACTAAGAGCTGGGGGAAGAAACAAAATCAGAAGCAACGGCAGAAAGAAATTCCAAGCATCAACACCCAAATCACATCATCTTGACATTAGACACTCCAAAAGTATTAGAGCAAAATCAGATACACATCTCTATACTGCACAGCTGCTTGCACTGAATTAGCTATTTACCTTAATGTAAAGCTAGTGATGGTTGGTTCACTAAAATTCGAAGCAGACAAGGCTACATTGGTCACATGAATCTCTGGAGGTCTTGCTGTGAAGTTCAATTTTTCATTTCCTCTTCTTTTTAAAGAGAATAGTTTGTAAATGCACTGTGTTTTTTTCAGTGGGACACTAGAGTGTGAGAATACCTAATTAATCTGGCATTGCAAACTGAGTTTTAAAGCCTGAATGATTAGCTTTACTTATTGTACAAAACACATGGCCAAAACCTCTTCTTTCTTATTCTAGTTAAAATAAACAAATATTATAAAGGAAGGCAAAACTTGACTTCTTATAGGACTGAAAAATAAGAGGTATTTAAAAAGATTCTGTCTATCCTTTTTAGTCTGTCAACTTTCTCACTCCTACTAGTATTGTTAATCAGGATTTCTTAGTCTGTTTTTTAAGAAAGAACATTTCATAGTTTTCTTATATTTTTTGACTTTTCCCCCACCTGGTGACCTGAACTACTCTAATTAAACTTTCCAGCAGTTTTCACACATATTTATTGAACTCTTTGGTTACATTTGACATAGTGTGTGTATATCTATCTTTCTGTTCATTTAAGTGATACCCAGTGAGATTTGCTGATGTGATATAAGTCTTTTTTCTTGGCCTTGAAGCTACCCAGGGGAATAATACATATTCCTTTTTAGGTCATGATTTCTAGTAAAGACACTGAATAATATCCATCACCATTTCATCCAATAAACTTTTTACTGCTAAGTCCAAACCAGTGCCTGTTAGTGCTCTTCAAAGAAAGTTAGAATCAAGCAATGTTTTCTGACTAAATGATTAATCTTCACTATATGCAATAAATTTGCTGCTGTACATTTAATTTTTAATATGAAATGTCGTACTCATTCTCTCTGACTCTATTAGAGCAAGTTCTTGTGGGGGAATGTTCTCTAGTAAACCAAACCAGAGACAGCTGGAACTAAAACTTGCTCAATATCTGATTATAGCTCTTATTTTCACTATTAAACATCATGAGCCTTGTAAACCATTTATTGCTTTTTCATTTTCACTCATTACTAAAATGTTCTTATTGAATCTAAAACTGTTTCCTAACAAAAATTACGAGAGGGAGAAAAAGATTTACTACATAGAATCTATAGGAAACAAGTAGTCCCACTTCAGGATTTTTCTGTGTGAAATTTCAATTTCCTATGGGCCCCTGGAGGATATACTGTATTCAGCTCGTTCCACATAACCTACAGGTTACAGCACTTTCTGAGCAGTGGCATGTATAAATTTCAAGCTTTCTCTGATTCAGGAGCTTCGAATGAGGTCTCTTGGAGACCAAACTGAGGACACTGTTAACCACAAGTATTCTGGAGCTCAAGGTTGGTAAGAGCAACCTCTTCTTTTTGCCAGCTTTGTCAGCAGTCATGAACCTTCTCAGTAGCCAAGTACCAAGAATCTAAGTGAAAGAAAAATATATCAGGAATGTTGAAACTTGAGGGTGGTTGTTATGACAAAATTACAACCCAATATCAATTCAAGTATGTATACACTTTTAGAGAAGTAAAACCACATTTTTCTATAAATAAACAGTGCTCAGAAAAATCCTGCTGACCCTGACAAACATCTGTGTCTGCACCATGTCATCCATCCAGACAAACACCATTCTGCATTTCAGTATCTTTTTTGTTTGAATTATCATGTTTTTGTACAGAATGGAGATTGTACAAGAATCATTTCATGATGCTGTTTAGGAAAAGAAAGGTTTCCCTTTTCAACTAATTAATATGGAATTTAAATTACTCTTGCTATTTAAATTTAAATAGCAATGAAAAAGCAGTCTTTTTAGCATTTTGACAATGGATTTTTTATCATTTTAATCCTATTCCTATTTGTTTCATAAAATATTTATTCCTCTTATATCATATTTTTTTTTTGCAAATCCATTTTCTTGTTCAAGAAGAATCTTCCCTCTGTAATTCTGTTTAAACTACATCATGGAGTGGTGGGGATTTTTCCTAGACAGAAGTCATCTTACACTGCCCTACAGCTTTTAAAGTTTACATTATTCAAAAGCCAACTTCTCTGGCTAATTCATACTGTCAAGCAATCACCACCAAGACAATCATGATTTCAATCTGCTTGCATGTGTGCTGATCTGTCCCGCTATCCTACCACAATTTCATTGTCAGGGCACAAAGAGATGGAGACTTCTTTGCACAGCAGACTGCAGTGTACAGCACAACTCTATGCACATGTTTGGGTGTCCAGCCTGACCAGCTGCCCACATGCATAGCCCCTGTTCTTGCTCTCTGTGCCAGACAGCAGAATTTGCAGCTTTTCAGCTCCTGGAAGAGACAGCAGCTGTCTTTGGCAAGGCAAGGGCAGGATAAGTATGTTTGGTTCTCTCTCTCTCTTTGGTTTGGTGGACTTCCCTCCAGCTGTGTCCCTGACCAGGCCTCTGTCCTATTCCACAAAAACAGTAGGACGACCTGCTGGAGAAAGAAGGGGTGAACGTAGGCAGCTATGAGGTACTTGTGAATGCCAAATATAGAGAGAATGGGGACGTGGGCAGTGAAGCAGAAGACGCAAGACAGTCACTGAAAAGAAAGAGAATACACACTCCTATCCTTCCTGTCAGGGACCTCTGAGATCACCCAATACATTCCAAATCTCTAGTGATTGTCTTTGTAGTCCTTTTGCCTCAGTGTCTTCAACAAAATCCACCATGGCAAAAGCACAGAATTCATAGACTCACAGAATCATAGAATTGGTAAGGCTGGAATAGACCTCTGAGATCATCAGGCCAAGCTACCAGGCTATTACCATGTTCACCATCAAAGTACGTTCTTACGTGCCATATCCATTTTTTTACCAGGGATGCTGACTCCATCACTTCCCTGGGAAGCCTGGTCCAATGCCTGAAAAACCTTCTGTGAAGAAATTTTCCTGATGTTCAACCTAAACATCCACTGGCACAACTTAAGACTATTTCCTCTTGTTTTGTCATTTTTACCTGAGTGAAGAGACCAACCTTCACTTCACTATACCCTCCACTCAGGGAGCTGTAGAGAGCATCCTTTTCTCCAGGCTAAACACCCCCAACTTCTTCAACTGCTCCTCATCAGACATGTGCTCCAGACCCTTCCCTTGTTCTGTTGGACTTCTCTGGACATGCTCTAGCACTTCAATGTCATTCTTGAAAGCAGTGCTGATAGAGGACTCAAGGTGCCAATGGTCACATGCTAAAGGTGCAGCCACTGTCAGTTAGCACCAGGTCCCTTCCTGTGGTCCCAGAGCCACTTTCCAGCCCCTCTTCCCTAAGCCTGAAGTGCTGTCTGGAGCTGTGACCCAAAGGCAGGAAAGGCACTTGGTCTTGCTGAACCTCACACAGCAGGCCTTGCCTCATCAATCCAGCCTGTCCAGATTCCTCTGCAGAGCCTTCCTGCCCTCCAGTGGATCAACATTCCGTTTTGATTGATTTTACCTGCTGAGGAGTTTTGCTCCTGTTCTGAGCATGCAAAAGGAGAACATGTCACTTGATCCTGTCTTGATACAAGTAATACTAGCCACAGCTAGTCCAAGATCTAGAGTCCTCATTGGTAAAGGAGAATCATCCAGTCTTCAGAAGAAGCAACAACGGCATGGGTCCCAAAGAGCACTGACACTAAGAATCTGTTCTAAACATAAAGTTATGGTACAAGGAAAAGCTCCAATATTTATATTCACTTCATGCTTCACCAAGAGTGTTTTATCTGTAGAATGCTTGCAGAACTCATTCCATACTCTGAATATGAATGTGGATATTAACAGCCTTCTCAGGTGAAACAGATCTGAACTTCTTCGGAACTGTCTACAGATGCAGGCATGTAGTGTTCGTTCATGCTTTTGACTTGTTTGTTCTCACAGCAAAGCCATGACAAATTTAGATTTGCATTTTCTTAAATGCAAAATAGAGTTCTGATGCAATTCAGGTACAGAATCCCAAACACACAGCTAATATTTATGCATGAATCCAAAGTCAGTTCTAAGCTTGTTTCTGAAAAGAGCTTCTACTCAAGTTTACTTGATACAAAAAGTTGTTATGGCACTAACTGCTTTTTGGCACGAGAACATTTAATGCACCTAACACCTGCTCTGTACTAGTCACTTCTTGTCCAGTTTTTCATTTATAAGACATTAAAAAAATACACCACTATCTATTGGTGTTTATAGCTTTGCTGTCATGGCCACCTTCAAAACAAATAGCTGTGCCAGCCACAAGCACACAGATCACTGTGAAGATGCTGAGGTTTGCCATAATGGAACGTACTGAGCAATCTGTTCATCTGTGGCTTCCAGGCTCCTTTCTCGTAAACAGCAAATGCTTGCCCTGTGAAATGAAGATCAAATTTGGGCATGTGCATAAAGGCATATTTAACCTCAGTTTTAGAACCCACGCCTCAAGTTTCAATCCTTAGACTTACCACACAGTTGACATTGAGTATGGAAAGAACCTAAATTACTTGAAGATTTATTCACTTGATACAAAAAAAACTTATTAAAATCTAAAGGTTCAGGCAGCAGTGATGTCAAATCCTGAGATCAAAAATCTACTCCAAGTGAAACACTGACTTATGTTTCTTGCAAATATTGACTTGTTAGTGGAAAAAATAATAAGTATAATCCACCTTTTACTCAACAGCAGAGCAATGCCTGTAATCATCTCCAGAGGAAAGATACACATTCAAATTGTCCTTTCCTAAGTAGAACAGTCATTTAATCTTAATTTTCCCCACAAACAGGGAAGGTGAGCTAGCTTTTATACTATCTAGTATCCAGATGTGGTCAGTCTCTCCCAGTCAAGTGGTTCCATCTTACATGAAGCTTGCAGGAATCTAGAGAAGAAGTTATGACTGGATGGAATGCTGTTCAGGGCATAAATCTATTGGAAGATCTGGAAGTCATGTTGGTTTATCATCTCTAACACAAGGATAAAAAGAAATAAATCCAGTAAAGAAAGGACTAAGATAGTCAAGGGCTAAAGCATAGAAAATATGAGAAGTGGAGAGAACAGTGTTTATTCAGCCTTGAGAAGTGAAGGCAAAGGGCAGACAACATCACTGTCTATAAATACCTGATTGGAACAAATGAAGACAGAACCAGATTGTTCTCAGAGATGCACAGTAGATAGAAGGATAAGAGACCACAAACTCAGGTTGGAGCTGGGCTTGCCACCCTGGGGGACTCTGCAATCCTCAGAACAACCTAGTCTCTGCAACAGCACAACAAATTGCAAAGAATCATTCACAGAATAAAATCACCAGTTAAAATAATGACAAATATTACAAACCCTGTATAAGATACAAACCATGGTCATAAACACATATAAACCCCAAGCATATTTTCTCCATGCTTTGACTGACACTACATACAGTCCAAAATAAAACACACGCCTCAACATTTTATTACTATTTTATGCTTTAAAACTATTGTAAGTTTTTCATATTACTCCATTAACTAGTTCTGGGTGCTTCTTTCTCTCACTTACCATGACATGATCCTGGACTTCTCTACTACAGCCACCAGCAAGTGTCACAGGATATAAATTACAGACTTTGCTCCCCTAGAAATGTTTGCCCCCTTAAAGTTACTATCTAAAAATAATTTTCTCCCTCTTGAGACTCACTGAGGCAGAATTGACTTGAAAGTAATTTCTTCATCAGATTTCACAGAAAAGTAAAATTAACTAGCTTATTTAAAACTGTTATTAAAAGATAAAATATAAAGCCAGTGAAAGAGAGCACTGGGCTGGTGAATTATTAGTGCTCATCACACCATTTTTTGACAGTTTATATTATTCTGGATGTTTTGCCTAGTAGTCTCGATTGCACTTCAACAAAACATTTTTGACTTTGCATTTTCACCTGATTTTTATTGTGTTAAAAGCAAATTACCTCAAATAGGAAGCTTAGGCTGACATTTAGAAAATCAGACACAGTGAACTGAGTTTTTCCCATAAAATAAAGAATTACTGTAAAGCCCAACTTGAAGCCAGAGCAAAGGGCAAACATCTTTGACCAGCATTCCCTAAGACAAAGCAATACACATAACTAAATGTTCCAAAACAAAACTGCCATAAATAAGCCTTGTCTCCAGAGGATGGCAGAAAGAATACACCATATATAACACTTTTCTTAGATCAATTAAAGCACAACAGGTTGGGGATTAATAATCCAAGGAGAATGGTCCATGTTCACTGCCTGAGGTGTTGGTGTGACACTCCAATTTCTGTCTTCTGCTTTCCTCCCTGCTGAACTTCTGTTCTCACAGCAGAGAGACAGGAATCCAAAGCCCCAGTTTCAACATGCCTTGACTAGCTCACACGTCACACACTAAGCAAGAGGCAATTCTCATATTCTGCCATTTTAAAAGCTGGGATAAGGCCCCTTAAGAGTACTTCTGAATCCTCATTTTTCTTTGCAGCCCTTACTTTTTGTATGTGCATATATCCAGGATTGTAAAGTAAATTATGGATTTTTAGATGTCCAACAATAGTATTTTCACACATGCATCTTAAGTGAGGTTGAATGCAAGTTCAAACCAAACCACTGTCACCTAAGACAAACTATTACCTCACTGAGAGTTATCCAAGGTATGAACAACCTTGGATTCCAAAAAGAGGTGATAGACTAGTATGACCATCTGCCAGTCATATAAAATATTCCTTCATATTATTTCTAGCTAATCCCCGCAATTCAATCTCGGATGATAGGACCCTTTTGTCAAAAGCTTCAAATATAAATTGGCTGATACAGGACTAGAGAGACAAAAATAAATGGTTATCCTTTCACTCAAGCAAAATAAGGGTTTAGTGTAGGAACAAGTGGAGAGCTTTCCAGCAGCTGTCAAAATAAAGCCAGGGTAAAACAGAGACCAGACATGGAAAAAGCTTCTGTCAACATAATTAAATTTGGGCAATGTGAAGGCACCTAAAATAAAGGCTTCCTGCTGACTCTAACTGTAACTGTAATAGTTTGTATTACATACAAACATCCATTACAAGAAACCTGACAAGAATATCTTATGATTATGCACATATAAGCTAATAATAATCCCTTTGCCATGATCATAGAAGAGTCAGTTCTGGATGGAAAATGATGAGACTAAAGAGACTTGACCTTGAAGAGGAAAATTGACTAAATTTAAATATTTTTCCTTATTCACAATGGAAAAAAATATGAAGTGGTGGGAAAAGTATTTAATTCTCAGAGTCCATTTGAAAGTCTACTGAGAAATAAATCACTGGTATTCATTAGAATGTCTCTCTAGCCATATCTTTTGGGAAAACTCAAGGAGAAAGTGTATGCTAGAGCAAAGACATCTGTAAATGTCAAAGACTCAGACAAGTCAAGCTGATCAAACATAAGGTAATATAGTGAATCATACCACCATCATTCAACTCAATCAAGGAATTGAGCACAGGACAGATAGTGTCATATTAGACAAATTAGTTAATGTTAGAACAATCTAAACTTCTCAGCCATAGTACTTCATGTCTGATTAAATTTGAGTGATTTAAGCTCCCATTATTGAGCACCTAATTACACTAGGATGCCATTAGCCTCTCTGAAGAGCATATAAAGAGCTAACTGCCATAAAAAAAATAACTGTGAAAAGATTCCCTCGATTAGCCATTTAGTACAATGAGACTCTGGTGTTTCCGATTTGGTAAGACTTCAGCAGTCACTGCAAAAACAGCTTTAGATCAAAAAAAGAATCTGCATTTCTAGTCTCCACCACTTTTAATTTCTTCACCCATGTCTAACTGCTGATGTAAAATCCTTTCTTATCTACACGGCATAAATAAAGAAATAAAATTCCATTTGTGTGTAATGAAAGAAGACTTTATCACAGCTTTATGAACAGATCACAAGTAGGTAAATAAATTATGTTCACCTATATTTCTTGTGCAATTTTGAGCTGAGAGGATATTTTTATTCTTTATCTTCATTTCTGCATGGCGAAATGAGTGTTTATCTAAATTTTTACTCTATAACTACAAGAATCCCTAACCAGTAAAAATCACTCAGGTGGACAAAAATTAGTACTTCTTCAGAAAAACCAGTTTTCAAAACTTGTTTTCAAAGGCTAGACAGCTAATTATATGAAGGGGTTCATTTGCAGTGGGGAAAGGGGACTAGATAGTAGAGGATAAAGAATCTAGGCATTTCCTAGAGTGCAGAAAACACTGAGTGTCCATACTAGAGGGGAAAAAAAAAATCACAATAGCTGTATTAACAAACTTGAAAAAGAACTTTGGATTTGGGTTTGGTTGACTTTCGGTAAAAAGTCATTCTTACACAGAGATGAGGTAGAATTTATGGTGTGGGATGAAGTTGCTGAACAGCCTAGAGACATTACTTTATGAAAACCATTGTAATGCTGTGAGAGGTATTCCAGCTTATTTTAAATCCTTGTTTACAATCACTTGTTGAATGGAAGCACTTACTGTAGGTACTATTGCTAAGCAGATAACCATGTTTCAGTGTGATGCACTGGCAGAAGAAAAGTCACATCTCTAAGGCTTGCTGCTTGTCTCCACCCTGCTGAAGTCTACAAGTCTGAAGAAATTAAGTCATCAATTGTAGAGTTTAAAAAAAACCCTGTGGAATGCGAAATACATTCAGAAATGGTAAGACCAAATAAAATATTTTTGAAAATAAATTAATTTAAGTACGACTTATCTGCGTTTTTTTACTGTCTCAGTTGTGGTATGGTAAGTATTCTTTGATCTACTGACTTAAAAATGTAAGTCAGCTGAAAGCTTTGTAATAGTGCAGAGAGGTCCCAATATGAGACAAGACCAGAGTGAGCTAGAGGGGAAAGGATAAATAGAATTATTAAAGTCATCACAGATCACCCTCAGAAGCCTACAGGATGTCCTGAAGGTGACCATGGAGCCACTGAATACTACCTAATGTAGCTTTGTGCTAAGACATACCAGTCCAATCTTGGCTTAGAATCTTCCCCTTGCAGTGACAAATGGCCAGATTGGCCAAGGTGAGGAAGAGGTACCACTGTTGGTAGGGTACATGGTAGGGACTGTTTAAGTCAAAAGGTGTGAGAAAAAGTTTGGCAAGAATCTCCATACAAAGTTCTGGAATCACAGTTACTTCTTGTACCTGTGTTATGTCAACTCAGCAGACTGAGAGGATGTATTTTACATAATCTTTGTTAGTACTGTCAGCTTCCAGAAGTGATTTTTGGTTGGTTGGACGGTTTTGTTGTGGTTTTTTTTTTTTTAATTAGCCTTATGCATAAATAGAGGATCTATTCAGACACTTTGTTGTCCATTGTCAGTGCTTCAGAATTCCAGTGACAGATTGAAGGGACAGAACTGTAACTGTTTTGACACATGTACATAATCATAGGTAGTCAAGATAGGGAAGACAGGCTATATTTGAAGGAAATGTTGACATAAACTACTGTTACTGATTTAAGTTTTACTCATCTCTGTATAAGGATAATACTTTTTCAAAAGTTACCCAAATCCAGAATCAAATATATTTGGTCATATACCTCATATATCGATGACATATCTTTTAAGCAAATTAAAGTGCAAGGCACGTGTTTGATGTTTTGCTTTGCTTTTTTTGGGTTTTTTTAATCAAGAAGAGGACTGCTCTTAAGTGTTTTCTGAATAAAACTGTATATGCAAATTTTCAATTAAATCAAATGTGCACAATCCCAGGACCTCCAATGAATGCTTTTTATACTTTTTTTCTTTTTTGGCTTGGTTATTCTGGGTGATATTTCCTCAGCAGGTAAGATAAAAAACTATGAGTTTTAATATCAGCTAGTGGCCCAAGTTCAAAAGAATAGAGTACATGTGGGTCAAGCTAAGCTTGGCTGTTTCTGGCTCAGTACAAGTCTTACCCATTCTGAAATGAGAACTCCTTGCTTCATTTTGTAGCTCTCACATTCCTAACTACATCACTCTGTTACATACACAACAGACAGATTCCATAGGATTTAGTTCTACAGCCTCCTCAGTTTTCTCAGCAGGTCTTACTCTGTATGACTAAAAGGAAAATGCTAAAATTATGAGATGAGTGATTCTCAAACTACAGAACAAAAAAAAATAAAAATAAAATGCAGTTCTCTGTCTGCAATGATTGTGGTACCATCTAGTGGAATAACAACAGTTTTACAAGAAGTTACTGCAACCCATAGGTCAAAGGGTAAAAGGAGAGTTTGAATCTCTAACTGTGCCAGTGTATCCATCCAGCAGGGAAAAGTACACAGCACATAAATATTTTGGAAGTTCCGTGGGGTCTTTAACTGCAGTCATGTTACAGCAGTAAATTGGTGGCACCTGAGAGAAGGGTGGTTTCCATACCAAAGGGGTGTTAAGTTTCAAGGAAGGGAAGGGGAAACAATCATTCTCACTGCACCCCAAAAATATTTGCTTAAAAGTGCTGCTGAAAACATCAAGCTGTTGAATTCCAGGCAATGTATTACAAAATGATAACCTGCTCTACTGGCTCAGTACCAGAAATTTTACGACCAGTAAGTCACTGCTTGCAACAGAGAACTGAAAAATGAAAATTGAATTGAATTCAATATGAAGTGTTTGTGCTTGGAAGAGGATTGTGCCAAGCTGAGCTGGTAACTGGACTTCCAGGGAGAAAAGGAAAACAATTAAAAAAAAAAAAAAAAGCAAAACAAAAACACACCAAAATTCACAAAAAAGCCCAAAACAAACAAATAAAAATTCCCCAAAACAAACAAAAACAAACAAACAAACAAACAAACAAAATAACCCACCCAAAAATATTTTAAATCAAAGACTGGAGTACAATTATGGCAAGTAATAAAACCACTCATTATGAGCACATTTTGAGTTGCATGGGTGTCTAACCCTCCAAGGCCTGAGACAGAACAGTCTGCCTGTAGAGTGGAATGAGAAACAAGATAATTAGCTCTAAAGTGCTCACATAACAGACCTGCCCAGGACTGATGGGGTTTGGAGCTGCTGATGCAGGAAATCTCTTCATGCCATATTTCCAGATCTTTTATTTTCCTTCTAGATTTGCCATGAAGCAACACCTTGGAAGACATCATTTCAGTTGCAGAACCTGAGTCTGAATTTATCCTACAGTGAGCATATAAATCCCTGCTTCTGCTTATTAATTTTCAACCAACTAGTGTTTTTTATAATTAATTCAATTTTCTTTCTGCTGAAATTGTTTTTCAATAAGGTGATGCACTGTTTCTTCCCATGTTTCATTTCCCAGTCTTGAGGGAACATCCCAGTCTGACCATCCAGGAGGCACTTTGGGGGTCACATTCACACCACCCAGAGACTTTAGTGGGACCAAGACCCCTTCTCTGTGGGTGACTCCAGTGACCTGACAGGTGCCTCTTTCACTCCCTACTCACTTTCCTCTCACAGTCAGACCAGGTTTCCTTACTGGCTAGACCTCGCAGTTCCTGTAGCAGCAGCTCAGAAGTACTTAGAATAATGTAATCATGTTGCAAAAAACAGAATGACTCGAGTTGCTGCCTTGAACAAAGGACTGCTTGGGCTTTTACCCCCTCACAGGGTGCTCCATAGTCAGGGCTCTCCCTGCTGAATCCTCAGCTTCTGACATATTTTTTGTGTGTCTGGTGCTCTAGCTGGGCCACAGGTCCCAGGTACCTCTGTTGTGCAATGTTTCAGCTGTTCACATACCCTTGCCTCTGGCTCCTACCATGCAGTGCTCAACCTGCAGCTCTGCTGCAGCTGCACCCAGAGCTACCTTTGCTCATTTTGCTCTCATGTGGAGCTTTATGTGTTGTGCTCCTGTGATACAGGAGTAAGTGGCATTAAAATGATAGGTCACCACTAATCTGGCCTAGAGATTTTCTTGTCCATGTTAGCAATAGAACTCTTCTTACAGACTGTGATCAAAACATCATTATAGAATGTTTTAAAGGACAACAACTTAATAACATCTGAAATCCTGTCAAGATAGGTTTGTACAAAAGGAGGCAGAAAAAAAATTCATTTTCTGAGCTCTTACAAAGATTAGCTATGCAACCTGAAAAGAAATATTTGCATTTCTCATTACAACAGGTTGATTTATAAAATAATCAATAAAAGTGTGTAGGTTTGAACACTAATGGAATCTTTCATGTACATTAATTGCTCCTATAGAGACATCAGGCTCAGAGTTTAACTGGTTTTAGCACAGCAGTGGGAGCTGGGAAGCCCACAGAGAGAAGTGTGACTTGACAGCCCCTCTTGAAGGTGTAAAAGGTGAACACATGGCTCCCAGCCCCTCTCTGGGGAGCATCCTTTGAATCTGCAGGAGTGCACTCCTGGTGTGT